TTATGCGGAGGAACTGGAGCTATATGTGGTGGAGCTACAACTGGAGTTGTAGGTGGTGGGGCTACAACTGGAGCTGCAGGTGGTGGAGCTACAACTGGAGCTGTAGGTGGTGGAGCTATAACTGGAGATTTGTTACCAGAAATATGATCTGATGCACCTGAATCAATGACCCAAGACTCAAATGATGAAGATTGGGAGAAACAAGTCACGCTATTACATGTTTGAACAACAGAAGCTATCTCAGAAGATGTCTGCTTACATGCTTTGTACTGAAGGAACTCAATATAATCTGCTAAAGAAACCATCCGACTATTCAAAGCATCGGTTTCCATGTCGCTATAATTTGTAGTAGTAGGGTTAACTTGAAATAGTGGAAATAAGTAACTCATGTGAGAAACTGAATAAATAGCTTGAAAAAACACTATTTACATCCGGAAAACAGAACATTGTTCTACACCGAAAATACTGTTTACGCCGGAAATACTGTAGCTTGCCAGAAAATTCCAAAGTTGTCGGTATTTGTCGTAACCAGGATGGATAGACTCAGAATTCCCTTGCGAGCAAGCTGTCCTGAAGAAATAATTTCAAAATAAATGGCCGGAAAGGTCACTGTTCATGCCGGAAAAATACAAAAGTGGTCAGAATTTGATTAAAATTAGATAGGTAGGCTCGAAATTTTGAGAAGAGCACACTATCCTAAAGAAGCTTCGCCAAAAAATGGCCAGAAAGTGGCCGGAACCCTCGCCAGAAAAGTTGTTGTTGCCTGCGCGTGGAGGAGCGTGGCGGCTTTTCTACCGGATAAAATTTCAGGGGTTGGTCGCCGAAGGGTGATCTACCTCGTGGTGGTGGTGGTTTTAGCACAATACCGACAAAAAGTAACTTTCATTTAGACAAGCCTTAGGTCACCAAAAAAATTGCACGATGACTAAATTCTTTCTTCTCGGTTAATGCTGGAATGACGCACATCGATCTTTTCTCACTAATGCTCTGATACCATGTGAGAAGGCACGGGAGAAAATATGTTATTGATATTGGATAATAAATACAATACAAGAGGTCCCTATTTATAGCTATACACTACAAGGAGATATTACTCCTCTTCTAATGTGGGACAAGACTACACTATACATATCTGTAAACTAACACAGTTATAAGTAAGGATACCAAATAACATACCAGTGCCTCGTGCCTTCCGACGTATGAAACGTACCGACCGCCAGCGCGATGAATGGGATTCCCGACGAAAAGTCGGGTAACGTCACAGTACCAGCCCATATAATCATGCTCAGTATCCGCCCGACACGGTAAAGGGGGCCGAAATCAGGTCAAGTCGCCGGTCCCAAGTATTGATCTGCGCCTCTAGCCATGCCACATATGCTTGGTCCACCCTGGAACGATCATCCCGCTGGAAATGTATGGTCTGCCAGGTGGGCGGTGGCGGTACAAGCTGCAGACGGCCAAACTGGCGAAGTACCCGCTCGGTGGCATGATGCTCCACAATATCAAGGTACATCAACGGGATGGAAGAGTTCCAAATAAGTCGGCCGGCCGAGCAATAATTGGGCAAGCCAGCTATCAGCGCGTCGCTGTATGGCATCCAGATGAACTATTAAGTAACAACAGAAAATGTGAGTATACGCAACACATGTGAAGCCAGGCCAAGTAAACTTAGGTATACATTTACTTGTGCGCCCTCTAGCAAATCCAACAAATCCCTGCACAAGGGGAGATTATGTCGAGCCTCGTACTCTCGTCCATATCCCCGCCGGAGAATCCATCTCCTAGTTAGAGGGAGAAACGGAGGTGGTACACCCGGAGCTAATGGTGGTAAAGGTGGCTGCAACTGCATGAACCACTCCCAGGCCCAAACCTAACATACAAAGTGGACGTAAAATTTAAGATATATTTTTACTGGGTATGTTATAATGAATAGAGTATTCAAATAAGTTTTCACCTGTAGCAGCAGCAAAAATCCAGCAACGTCACGCTGGGTGCCCATGGTCGCCCGACACATCTGCCTGTACAAGTAGGCGAGAACAGCAGAACCCTAGTTGTACTGGGGTAAATCATCTAGCCGCTCAAGATGATGAAGAAATCTCAAGCTGACTAGGTTCCCCGAAGTGTTAGGGAACAAGACCCCTCCAAACATAAGGAGCAGCATCAACCTCGTGTACCGGTGAATATGCAGCTCCGGTGTATCGCCTGTGATGTCAGGGTGCAATACCTCCAAATGGTCTCGGATAGTCGTCAGCTGCAGACGACTGGCCCCAGCCAGTGCAGTCTCCTCCTGTGGCCGAAAACCAGTGAGCTGCTGCAGCACATCCAGGTATTGCCCACTCGTCAGCTCTCTCATGGCCTACGGCAGAGCAATGGGGTGTCCATCAACGGGCAACCCATATATAACCTCCACGTCCTGCAGTGTGATGGTGGCATCGCCAATGGGCAAGTGGAATGTGTGTGTCTCCAGTCGTCATCGCTCTATCACGACCGTGATCAAAGACCAATCGAGCTGCAGCCGCCCGATCTCCAAAATCCTATAGAAGCCCGTATCCTGCAGGCATCTGACTACACGGGGATGGAGAACCTTGCCCTTCAGAAAGTCCCACATGTCGTCCAGTCTCCTGATACGGAGAGTCTGGGCCAGTAACTCTCCCTCCCATATATGGGAGGACCTATGATCGCCCTGTAACGACAGTAGCTCATCGCTGGAAGGTCCGAGATGCATAGGCGGAACCTCCATGCCATCTACTGTAAATTAAACAATATTAATTACATGTTAGTTTTATAATTTTATATGTTTGTTTGTAAATTAAATAATTAATTTTTATAATTATATAAGATTTAATTATTAAGTATTCACATATGGGTTCCAGGCTTGATATTTGAGGCCTAGTAGCACCAAGATATCCTGAATTCTTGTATGTGTTAGTTTTATTAATTTATATATAGTTTTATTATTTTACTTGTTTTATTTTATACGTTTGTTTGTTACTCACTTATTTTTTACTATAATAAAATTAAATAAATAATTTTTATTATTATATAATATTTAATTATTAAATATTCACAAATGGGTTCCGAGCTCGATATTTGAGGCCCAGTAGCACCAAGATATCCGAAAAATATTATTATTTTCTCATGTTATTTTCTTACGATCGTTGATTAGAATTGGACAGAGTTTGTGTTTGATCTATCAGCTATTTTAACGTATTTTTTGGGTATAAGAGATACTTAAATGATTAATTTCAATAACTACAGGGATACTACGCTAAAAGGCACTACATTTTACTACACTAAAAGGGCACTATATTACTAGTCTTTAAGCAAATAAATAATCTAAACCAGATAAAAATAACAAATACATTTAATCACAAAATATTCACGAAAATACATATACAACAGTAAAAAGTAACTTATTAACATTTTTTTAACAAATAATAATGTTTCTCAATTTTTACATATTTTTTTAACACACTAATATCTTAGTCCGGATAAAAATAACATACCAGTTTAATCGCAAAAAAAAATAATACAAAACAACATAGAACACATTTAAAATAACTAATATGCATTTTTTATACGAGTTTCGACAAAAACTAAATCGGAATACCTCGATTTATGTTTTTTGAAAAGTTGAAGATTTGAATCCGAAACGAGCAACCCGTAACGAGAGAAGGCTTAGCTAGGATGTAGGACCAATAATCTTTACTTTTTGTGGGACGGATAGGGTCCACTCGAGTTTTTTTTGGGTCGTTAATGGGGGGACCGCTGGTTTATTTAAAAATGATTGGGGGGAGGGGGGTTGTTTTGCTTCTGTAATGGGGGAAAGGGAAGGGACAGATATTTGATGGGGTATAGTGTCGTTTATTAAGGTGTTATACATATATCGCCTTAATAAATTGTGCTATACGTGCACGTCTAATCAACTTCACATATAGCGCCTTTTTAAAGGACGCTATATATAATATGGTCACAATATTTTTTTCATTCATTTTGGTTATTTAAGTCCAAAAAGCCCACATTTAGATTTCGGACTCTGTTTAAACAAGTGACGTAGGAAGTGACATTTTCCGAGTCCTGACTAGAGGATGCTTTGCACTAGTGCACAACTGCACCTCAACTATACATTATTGGTCCAGGACGTTTGGCAACTTAAGTTCTTTTGTTCAGTTATGCTGCATAATGTGGTCTTGGTACTTTCTTATAGTAAATGACGTAACCAAATATGTACTATATTCCAAAGTCCAATTGTTCAAATTGAAACAAAAACCCGATTTACAAGATAGATATTTTTGAATTTTTCTTTATAATAAATGTAGTAACATGACGAAAGAAGGTATAATTCCAAAATTGTTCAAATTGGAAAGGAAACCGAAACTTGTAAATCATCGAAATCGTGACTTCTTATAAAATAAAGCTAGTAAAGTAAATATAAGTATATAGAGAAACAGATGTATTATTTAATTTTAAAATGATATATATAATGAATTAAAATCTCCTTTATTTATAAAAGAAAGAAAGCTGCTTGTAAACTGTTACTACAAACTACTTATAAGCTACTTGTAAGCTGTTACTGCAAGCTGATGTGTAAGCTGCTACTGCAAGCTGCTGTGTAAGCTGCTACTATATCAAATATAAATAATCTTCTATCGGGGATAATATTTATCCATAACGGAGTACCAAAAGGATAAGTTTATTGTATAATCTTCTATCGGAAGGTAATATTTATTCATAACGGAGTACCGAAAGGATAAGTTTTTTCGGGATACTTATTTCCAATAGAGTATTAAATAGATAAATATATTTACGATTGAGTCCTATATGGATAAATTTTTTCAGGAAGCTTATTTACAACGGAGTACTAAATGAACATGGATATGGTTCCTTTTGAACACCACGTGGCAAATACCTTTTAGTCCCACGACATATTATAAATAGTCCAATATTTAAATTCAACAAAGGGTACCACAGTCACACACAGCTACAAAAGCCTTCCTCACCTCCGTCAAAAACCACCATCACCACCACTACCACCTCCGCATTCCGCCGTCATGGACGATTATGGTTCCGACGATAAACAGTTGGCTATTTCCCGAGTCTTTTCTGAACGATTGCGAGGTTTAGAAACGAGTTATGTGAGACTCAGGGAAAAATTTAACTTGCTCTTGGAAGAAAAATGTAGTAAGGAATCAGGTGCCGATAATACAACTTCGTACTGCGGTCCCGGAGTGTTCTACTCCGGGACTCCGTACAGAAATGTGTTGGAGGACATGGGTCATGCACTTTACGTTACTAAAGTTGGTACTGGGGAAATAATTTACTGGTAAGTACTGGTAATTTTCAGCTCCTATACTTTATCATTTTTATTCGCTAACAGTTAAATATACGATGGTATATTGTAAGTGGCAGACTAGAGTTACTTCATAGTTTCAAGCATAGCACAATCTCTTTGAAAAAATGCAAGGGATTGGCTTCATTCTCTCCTCTGCATTATAAGTCATTTTAAGGACATAAATAAGTACTAATAAAATGGTAGTGTTCTTTCTAACCAAGTTCTAAGACAAATCAATATGGTACCAGAGCATGAAAAGATCTTGATTTCATGTGTAATTATATTCTTCGTCAGATTGGAGCTAGACGGATCGTGTTAAGACATAAATAAGTACATAAAGTGTGCCCTTTTTAGATGCTAAGATTAGGTTCAGCAATTGGCTTTGAGGCGCATAGCAACCTTTTCCTACTGTTATAGCAAGTAGTGAAGCAAACAGGCATTAGTATCAATTATCGGTTTACTCTTTTATAGATGTGGATGCTCGGATGTACCACATCCACATTTACTGTAACCAAATACCCTTTCTATTGACTCATATTGTGACTATAGACTTACTCATTGCTCAATCGCTTATTTAATTAACGGAAGAAAGGAAAAGGGTAAATAATAAGAGGAATAAGAAAATGAAAGAGTCTCGGCTATCTCCCCTCCTGTGACCTTGCACATAACACAAGCGAGTTTTCTGTTGCAGGAATCAAGCTGCTGAGCAACTTTATGGTTATAAAAACTATGAAGTAGTTGAACACAGGTGTACTGAACTGCTTATTTGTGAAGAATATCATGAATTGGCTAGGAATGCCGTGAAAAAATTGAGCTGCGGACAATCATGGTCGGGTCAGTTTCCTTTTAAGAAGAGGACTGGTCAGATCTTTATGGCAATTGTGACAAAGAGCCTATGGTACGAAGACGGTGAGATTTTTGGTGTTATCACTGTCTCAAGTGATGCAGCTTTTTTAAATAAGATAAACTCAGAAAAAACAAGAAGCTCTCAGGCTAATGGACAACCTGGAAAGCGGGGAACAAATTTCAGAAGTATTCAATGGCATCCACAGCAACAAACTGCATTGTCTGTTTCCAATCTGGTGCTTACTATTGCTTTATCACTGGCTTATTAACATTTTGAGTTAGTTTCCTGCGTAAGTTATTCACTGTTTGTATTCTATGTTTTCAGGCCTCAAAAGTGTTCCCACTTAAACGTGGAGAGGATGCACGCAATGCATCTGCAAATGTGAGAGACAGGGAGGAGGCTGAACTAGAAAAATTAGGAGGGCAATCACAAAAGCCACCAAGAGCACCCGTAAGTGTTTAGCTACTAAGGTTCTTTGCTTTTTGTTAATTATTAATGAGATGTATGAGAAAATGTTATCAACATTTCAGGCTGCACGGCTGAATTTCAGTTTGCTAGGTAGGAAAATCAGAGCTAATTCAAAAAGCTCAGAGACGGATGAGTCTGCATTTGATATTGCTCAGCCTTCTAAACTAGTACTGTTTCTTCTTCCTTTCATGCATAGGATAATTTTGCTCTAGATATGTCCTGTTCTTGGCCTTCAGCCTACTTTACTGGCTTTCATTTAATTTCTTTTAGAGGTGGGCTGGCCATTGTTATTCTAGTATTACCTGTTTTTGTCAATATGGTAGGTGGCAAAGGTTATGTCAAAGCTTCACATTACAGGATTTGGAAACACTGGGGAAGAAATGTGTGGAAATATTCAAGCGAATGGACGCGATAAAACTTCTATTAGTGAGGATGTCACAGAACCTTATTTGCCATCAGCTTCAGAGGGAAAATATAGTCATGTTCTTGATGCCTATAATGATTTCCAGAATATACTGAAGGCGTCTTGTTTTACTCGACGAAAAACGCCTGAAAATGGACAAATATCACCCACTGATGTCGTAGAGGGTCCGATAGCTACCTGCTCCAGAAAGTTTGATGAATGTTCTAAGGAATTCAGATCTCCTGAACAGTTGCCAAGATCATCTTTCCAAAGTAATGATAAATATCTCAAGTCAGAGATGGGAAATTCAAAACTTTCAGGGATGGAAGATTCATCTCGACAGCAGTTAGAAAACCAACAGTCACGGAAGTCAAGGGAGAGCACTAGAAGCAGTCAGGGAAATTCACAGAAAAATGAGAATGAGCTAAGCTTGATAGCACATTGTGAAATATCTTGGGAAGACATCAGCCTAAGGGAAGAAATTGGACGAGGTAAATCTTGAGAATATTGTACCAATGTTATTGACATGGTGCACTTTGGCTATCTGCACATTTGTAATGTCGGCCAAATTTGGTTGAGAAGAAACTCCCTAGCTGTTAGAGATCTATTTGTACATTCATTGCCTCAATTTGTAAAAGCATTAAAAGCTGAATATCTTGTTAATCACTGTCTGTGAGGTTAATTGAGTACCAAATAAATTATAGAGGAGCTAGAATATTACTCACCATAATATTTCCTTTTTTAGGTGCATATGCCGTTGTGTATCATGGAATCTGGAAAGGATCGGTACTTTCGTAATTCACAATAATCTTTTCACATTCTGATGGCAGACTGAAATGATATCTCATCATCGTGGTATTTGTGTCATCTCGCCTTTTTGTTCTTCAGGATGTTGCTGTAAAGGTTTATTTTGGGAACCAATGTGGTGAGACAACTTTGCTTGACTACAAAAAGGAGGTATGTGATACCATCAAACGGTCATTGACGTATCATATACTTAACAGAATTCTAATTGATTTTCAACACTTCTTCAGATTGACATAATGAAAAGGCTTAGACATCCAAGCGTGCTATTATTTATGGGAGCAGTATGTTCACAAGAAAAGCTTGCCATTGTCACAGAGTATTTACCCAGGTAATGAAGTATGTCATTTCATCAGACATGGTTCTGGTTATGAAAGTTAGCAGTCAAACTAGAGACACAAATGATTAGACACTGCAGAAAGTAGCTGAATTAAAATTTTATGTGAAAATGCTGTTTCATCATGTGTTTCAGGGGAAGTCTTTTTAAAGCACTTCACAGGAATAATCAGCCGCTAGACCTCAAAAGGCGTCTTAGAATGGCTCTTGACGTGGTCTGTTATCCGCTTGGACTCGTCTATTTGCTTTGAGTAATTAGTTTTTAAGTGTGACGCATTACCGTAATGAGAACTCATGTTTTTTCTCACACTTCTTCTTCTGTTTGCTTTAGGCTAGGGGTATGAATTACTTGCACCGACGAAACCCTCCAATAGTACATAGAGACCTGAAATCTTCAAACCTGCTTGTGGATAAAAGCTGGACTGTCAAGGTTTTGATTGCTCTGTGGAACCTTAAAATTATTCTTAATTAGTGAAGCCCTTTAAGTAGACAAATTTATTGGTGATTCCCTCCTCAGGTTGGAGATTTTGGCCTTTCAAAACTTAAACATACTACCTTTTTAACAGCAAATTCTGGACGAGGGACGGTATGCATCTTAGCCTTTTGATTTGCTCTTTTTTGTGGTCACATCAGATGGGCTAATGCTGTTACCTGTCTCTCACAAAATTTTCCAACATTTTATCATTGCAGCCGCAGTGGATGGCTCCTGAAGTACTTAGAAATGAACCTTCAACAGAGAAGTAAGCTTCATAACCTTTACTTTCTGTATTATTTTGTTTCTGTTAATTAACCTTGATGGTGTAATGCGAAACCGATCGTTGAACTTGAGACATTGCTCCTTGTGCCTTTGCACTAGGAGGAAAGGAGCAAATCTGTGGAACCATTCTTTTGTGAGTAAACTATTGCCTAGTAATGTATGTCCTTTGGAGCTCTTTTGTCTGCGGACAAATTATGCTGGATTTTAATGCGATGACAATAATCACTGGATTATTTTGTATTTTCGCAGATGCTTGGTTAATACTATTAAAATTCTGATAAAAGGTTTATAAAGCTTTAAATTGGATAAGATTATTTGTTTCTAATAATACCATTGACCGATCTTGCGTAGTTTATCCTATTTATTTAACTTAATATTTTACACTCAGACTGTTGGTGTGGTTTAGTTCTGGATTCCGACAATACGCTTAAAGATTAACCCCTTAATTTGCAAAGAAAAGGTTTTTAGGCATGTTGTTTCATGCTGCTGCACATTCTACGTAATTAGCATCACTTACAATGGCTATCTTGATGAAATTCTTCCACTGTTGTGCAGATCTGATGTCTTTAGTTTCGGTGTGATCTTATGGGAGCTAATGACTGAATCTATTCCCTGGAAAGACCTTAATCCCTTACAGGTACCTCAATGTTCCTTTTCACTATATCGATGCATATGCACGTGTTAGGACCGAAATAATGCGATAAATCAGACAACAAAAGATAAATATATCAAAAAGACACAAACATTTAATGTGGTTCGGTCCATTGACCTACGTCCACAGGCGGAGATGAGCAATTCACTGTATAAAGGAGAGTACAAAATATCGAGAGAACAACCTCACAAAGAGGTAAACTCAAGTGGCATGCTAACACTTGTCTCACAAATTCTCCCCGTAAACAAGACTCTCAAACGCTTTAGTGCTACATTGCGGATGCTACTGAATGAGAAGGAAGAATCTTAATTTATAGAAGTCAAAATTTAGAAAAAAAGGAGTAGCCAAATATGGAAGAATTAGATTTTCCTTTTAGTAATAGAAAAAATCAATTATGGTAAATGTGTTGCCCTTCTTTAAAGAGATAGAAAAAACCAAATATGGTTAAGAAAATCAGGACAAAAAACTAACAACACGTGTGCATGCAAATGCTGATAGCAAGTTAGATTTGTTAGTGTGCTTCTCAATAGTCAGTACTGGTACTAAAAGGAGTTTGTTTATTTGAAGGTTGTTGGAGTTGTTGGTTTCATGGATAGCAGACTGGACATTCCAGAAAACCTTGATTCCCGAATTGCAGCTATTATCCTTGATTGTTGGCAAGGGTGCTTTCCTCTCCTTTTGTTTGATATTAATTCTGATCAAGAAGTATTGTAAATGAAGTTGAATTAAGCCTTTGTTTCTTGACTACAAACAGCAAACCAGAACTTCGTCCATCATTTGAAGACCTGAGCCGAAGAATGACAGAAATAATTCTCTCATTTGGGGGATTGACATCTAGGAAGAACTCAGGGCTTTGATATCAAACACGGTTTGACAGGCAACTCAAGATGAACAACCTATGTAAATAACCAAGCGAATAAAGTGAATCGACAATGAAAAGTGTTTTTCATTGGATTCATATAGCCGACCCCAACTTTTTTCGGATTAAGGTGTAGTAGTAGTTGTTGTTGTTGTTACTGTTTTCCATTTTGCTTTAAATTGAAGGAGTGTATTAAGAGCATAATGTAGGATCCCTGTACAGGAAGATGCTTCATTAGTTTGCTTTTTTTGGAAATAAATAACTGTATGAGTAATCACCAAAGATTTAACTGATGCCTCATGAAAATGTTTTGTATGCAAGAGTAATCCTGTGATAGTAAACTTGCACTTTGTGCTGCTGAAGTTATTGTTCCTATTTGGTTGGGTAGAAAGGTTAATAAAGTGAATACCAGGTTATTTACGTTGTTATGTTTAGTAGAAGAGGAAGGTTGACCATATATATGAGCATCTAATTTTTGACTATATTTGAATTTTTACCACTTCTACTATGTAATTACTTTTAGAAATTTAATATATATTTTTTTAGTTTTGTTACATTTTTTTTATATAGGGTAAGAATTAAAAAATATTTTAAAAGGTCAAATTATTACTATTAGTATTATTTTTATTTTTTATCTTTATTTTTAAATGAAATAAATTTTAAAAAAAACGAAAAAATTAAATATTTTTTTTTAATTTTCGGATGGGAATAAAATAATAGGAAAATTAAACGTATGGAATAAAAAAAGTAAAAGTAAAAGTAGGTGGAAATTGTTTTTTTAAAAAAGTAAAAGAAAGTGGAAAATTAAAAAAATTAAAAGTAAAAGAATGTGAAAATTTTAAAAATAAAAAGTAAAAGAAGTTGGAATTAAAAAATAAAAGTAAAGGTAGCTGAAATTGTTTTTAAAAAAAAGTAAAAGAAAGTAGAAATTAAGAAAAAAAAAAAGTAAGATAAGTGGAAATTTTAAAAAAAGAAAAGTAAAATAAGTGGAAAATAAAAAAAAAGTAAAAAGTGAAAAATTAAAAAATAAAAAATAAAGGAAAGTGGGGAATTATTTTTTTTAAAAAAGAAGAAAAATGGGAAGTGGGAATTATTTTTAATTAAAAAATAATAAAATAATAAAATAATAAAGAAAATCTGAAAAAATTCCGAATTTTTTTTCTATAAATAGAAGAGAAATGTAAGGAAAGAGGGGAGGGAGAAGGAGAAAAAAAAAGAAGGGAGGAGGGAATTGAGAGAAATTATTTTTTCTTCTTCTACGCTAAGGAAATTTCTACTCGTGTCATTCTTTCTTCGTCTTTCTTTCAAACAATCCAGCAACTCATCACCCAAAATTCAACAAAAATACTTCATAATATCATTTTTTTACATGCCAAAAAGTGGAGTCAATAGTCGAGGTCGAGGATTCCGTTGGAGCTCCGTTTACTAGGTTTGATGTTATTCATCGCTTATGCTTGTTCGACGTTCGTCTGAGTTATTGTACCTGTTCTTGGAGACTCATTTAATTAAAAATTTTGCATTAAAAGTTTATTATTCCCTCTGTTCTTTTTATCTTATTTCATGTGATTTTATTTATTTGCCTTTAAACTTTATAAATAATAATGTAAGTTAGTCCTTAAATGCTATATGCTTAATCATGCTTTTGGAAATATGGTATTCAAACTTGCTTTAAAGTTGGGAAGATTTGGACCCTAATGAGTTTGGGCTTCAATTGTTGGGTTGTAGGGTATTGGTATATGATGGTTTATTTATTCAAATATCTAAAATCATACACTTCTTCCACAAGTAATTCCATAATTCATGGCCTTCACAATAATCTCAAACTTAGGAAAGAAACAAATCATGAATGCGCTAGAATGCGTTAGGCGTACTCTTAATTAATTGAATTATCGTGATTATGTATACGTTCGCGTGACATAATTACGATTCCCAAAACTAAAATCAAGGTATGCGTTCGCGCAACTTTGGGCGAAACAACCTTAAATATAATAAAAATGCTATTAATTGCGTGCACGTACACGTGACATGATTTTGGCACAATAAACAAAATGGATTCACACACGTGATTCGTTTCAAAGATAATTCCATATTTTAATATAAAAGCGGACAGATAAAATATAGAAACCAATAAATTACAGTTTATTTAAAATTAATTCAAGTCAAGTTGTAGTCAATAAAGCGATCGTGCTAGAACCACGGGACTCGAAGAATGTCTTATACCTTCTCCCCGGTCAATAGAATTCCTTACCCGTACTTTATTTTCGCAGACCAATAATAATAGAGTCAAACCTTCCTTTGACTAGGGATTCAAATAAAAGGTGACTTGGAACACCCAAAAAATCAATTCCAAGTGGCGACTTTGTAAATAAAATAATCCCTATTCAAATTTGTCACTTTAATTGGAAAAACTCTTTCACCCACATCAATTCATAACACATATATCTTTTGGGGCAAAAAGAGGTGTGATAATATCTATAATTAAACTTTTTAGCACTATTCTCAAGTCTCAAATATCTAACATGGATTAATCTATCTATTATATACTTCAATAATAAACAGCTGATTCTTTTAAGTGACTGCTGTGGTCTATTTAAATAATCCTCAAGTTCTAACTTATAAATTTGAAACGCATGGGGCTAAATTTAATCTTTTTATTGTCTCTTAGTCGATACGTCACTTAGAAAACACATTGTCTTTGAGGGACAGACATAGCTGCCGGCTAACCGGGGTGTAAGAAGTAAACCGACAAACCGCACCAACCCGATAATTCGAGTTAAATCGGAAAAAAAAAGTTCGACTATGATTTGGTTTGATTTGATTTGGTATTGGAGAAAAAATAACCCGACCATAATTGGTTTGGTTAAAGAAAGTCAAACCGAAACCAACCCAACCCAACCCGACATATATATATAGAAATTTTACATATATTTAGTAGGGAAAAGGGCCAAATATACCCCTATACTTTTGAAAAAGGTTTAAATGTACCATTCGTTATACTATGAGTCCAAATATACCTCTGTCGCTATACTTTGAGTTTAAATATACCATTCATTTAAACGGAGGGACACATGTCATCGTCCTGTTGGCCAATTCTAAATATCTCCTAATTAATAAAAAAGACTCATACCCATAACCATACCCATTATTCATACCCGAAAAGTAATTTTTTAAAGCAATTTTTTTGTAAAAACTGGAAAGAAAAAAAAAAGATTCAACAAAATATTTTCGTTTTTTTAAAACTAATGCACGTGTAGTCCACTACTTTAGGAAAGTCTTTTTTTTTCAGTTTTTAAAATAGTTTTTTTTTTCAGTTTTTACAAAAAAATATTTTTCAATTTTTTCAGTTTTTTTTTAAAGAATTTTTTTTTTGTAAAAACTGGAAAAAAAGAAAGATTTTATTTTAAAAACTGAAAAAAAAAAAAAAGACTTTCCTAAAGTAGTGGACTACAAGTGCATTAGTTTTTAAAAAACAAAAATATTTTGTTGAATCTTATTTTTTTAATTTTTACAAAAAAATTACTTTAGAAAATTGCTTTTCGGGTATGGGTATGAGTATTTTAATTAATTAGGAGATATTTAGAATTGACCAATATGATGATGACACGTCTCCCTCTGTTTAAATGGGGGGTATATTTGAACCCAAAGTATAGCGGCAGGAGTATATTTGGACTCATAGTATAATGAAGGGTATATTTAAACCTTTTTCGAAAGTGCAGGGGTATATTTGGCCATTTTTCCTATTTAATATATAAATATACTTATTGTGATGTAATTTATAAATATTTCTTACACTTTTTCATAATTTATCTTTTAATGTATTATTTCAAGGTTGGACTTAGAAGTTTTGAATATTCCAATAAGTTCTATAGCCATTAATATTAGTAACTCGAATAATGCTAACAAAAGCCCAAACCAAAATTAAATCAATACTAATGCTAACAAAAGATATTCAATTTAATACTAGGAATAACAATGTATTGAATATTTATTTTTTGTTTTGCAATGTTTTAGATCAAAATGCATTACCTATTTTTATTTTTTTAAGCGTTTAGTCATGTAGTTAATACTCCCTTATTAGTCTACTTATTTTAGCATGATTTAGATTATGTTTATTTTTACTATGACTTTTTAATTAACAATATTTATATTACGTTATTTTATTGTCTCTATTGTTGAATATTTTAGGATATTGTCATGACATCTCTCATATTTTGTATTATTTTCTTGGAAAATACCTTATATAGTTGTATCTTAGGATTAAAGAAATATTTGGAACACAAGTTATATGTTTTGTGCTACGAAGATTTTACCGGAGAAAAAACCGAAAAAACCCCCAATAACCCGAAAATTCGAGAAAACCGAGATTCAAAAATCCGAGTTTATTGATTTGGTTTAGTCTTTAGATTTAATAACTAAACACAATTGGTTTGGTTTGGTAATTGCAAAACCTGAACCAACCTGAATTATGTACACTCTTATAGCTAAGTATTCACGTATAGCAAATCCTTATTTAATGGAGTACATCATTCTTGGGGATGTACAGCTCGGTAGAGCATTGGGCTTTTAATTTAATGGTCTTTCAAGTCTGTGATATACCCAAACCTAGTTTACACTCTACTATGAACATAGGCGGACCGACGTTGCGGGTTGAGGGATTACGGGATCCCGTTAACCTCAGTAAATATATATATATATATATATATATCATATATATCTGTACATATATAGATGGAACTCTTAAATAATTTTCTCGTACCCCCAAATACAAAAGGGTTGACTTGCGAAGTGGTTTGCTAAGGCGCACAGTTTTCTTTTTTTGTTGAATGTCTGGGTTCGAAACCGAGCTTTTCAGCCTTTCCTTCTCCTTCCTATCTTAGTTCTTGCCTTTTCTTCTCCTTTCTATCTTTGTTTTTGCTTTTTCTTCTCCTTTCTATCTTATACTTAATAGCAAATTACTTTATTTTTATATTTATCTTTTTTTTTAATTCAATTATAGTTTATCACATAACAGTCAACTTCATTAATTTTTCTTTTTCAAATCCCGCCCTTAAAATTAAAAGTCTCAAATTGCAACTTATCGCTCCACATATAAAAAAAATATAAAATCTTTTGCCACAACTTTTTTTAACAATTACTTTGACTCCAATTCGACAATGGCAATTAAGAGTTTAAGACTCTTCTACAGTTTTTTGACTATTAACATACCCTTAATCTTGATTTCTTTAGTAAGTTTTTGA